GTAAATCGAGGGAAGCCGGACAGTAAAATGCAGGGAGTATACTTTGGAATCCGGGATGCTTGCCCTTGTTAATTTTGCCACCGCTGATGCAGGAGTGATTATGTATTAAATTTATCAGCACATACTACACCTCATCGATCGGTGTCACTTGAGTATGGTCACGCCTGACACGTGCCAAGCTTATTTACAGGAAATAACTGTCCTACGCGAGTCATATTGTCATTCTGTAATAGACATATCAGGCTTGGAAGGCACATGGATTAGTTGCATAACATGGCCACTCAAGAGCGGCTCGACTATGTCAAGTATGAGTTAGCTGGCGGATTCGTCTCATCGCCAATAACGATGCGTTTAAGCTAAATGTCGCTTAATAGAATGTAACAAATATACGGATTGTGTAGTAAGCAACAGCATGTTTTCCCCTGCCATGGACACCTGAGCGATGGCGGGCCGCTCGCTCAATTCGTCATGCCGCCCAGCACGAGAAAATGTTGTCCAAAAACGTAGCGCGCTGTGCTGGACGATAACTTTTGTTGAGCAACTTGGAAAAAGAGATTCAAGAGTCTCGACTCTGATTCACAGATGTGGTTCGAAATTAGCCTTAGAATGCCACCAATTGCAGCAATGTTTTCACAAATTCGGCCGGGGCGGTGCTATTAGCAATAAGCATGTGCTTATTTTGAAGATTCATGCGGTTGCAAGTCTGCCAAATTTTCTTTGGACATTTGCTGAAAAAATACGGTAATTCCGTGAGGCCGTGCTCTGGAACGAACTAGTTCGTATAGCAGGATTTTCAGGGAGTCACACAAACTCCTGCATATGTTAAATCAGGGAATCCGACAGTAAATCAGGGAGTATATTTGAATCCGGACTTGCGTTAATTTTGCACCCTGACAGAGATATTATGTTTAACATTTATACACATACCTACACTCATCATGGTGTCATTGGTATGTCACCTCACTGCAACTTATTTACAGGAAATAACTGCCTAGCAGTCATATGTCATTCTGTAATAGACATATGGCTTGGAAGGCATGATTATTGCATAAATGGCCACTCAAGACGGCTCGACTATTCAAGTAGAGTTAGCGGGATTCGTCTCATCGCCAATAAACGAGTTTTAAGTAAATGTCTAAAATAACAAATAACGATTGTGTAAGTAACAACAGCAGTGTTTCCCCTGCATTGACACGAGCGAGGCGGGCCGCCTCGCTCAAATTCTCAGCCACCACACAGAAATTTGTCCAAAACACCGCCTCGCTGACGAAACTTTTGACAACTTGAAAAGAGATTCAAGAGTCTCGACTCTCATACAATGTGTTCAGAATAGCTTAGAATGCACCAAATTGCACAATTTTTTCACAAATTTCCCGGGGGAGCATGCCCCCGGACCCCACTAGCTTGATGAGCACCTGCGCTGCTCACTTTGCTCGGACCTCGAAACGCGCAAACACATCATAAAAAACATTTACCACCTCACAGACCACTTTGGCCAGGGGAAACACTGAACAGATATACAGTTTACACCTACCTGGTAAGATAGTTCATAGAGCTTGGGATGGTCTACAAGGATCGGATCATTTGCATGGAAACACATACCATTTACCTTAAAGGAATAATAAGTCCATTGATTATGCAATGTTGACGAATGCTAGAGTAACTGGCACCTTGTGTAGTTAATAATTACATTACCTTATAGCCAAACGCGTATTAGTTTGTCCAATATCACTGCTGGTTACTAAGAAATGTCCAATTAAAATCTGCAGTCAAATAAATCGGTTGTTTACAGTTTCAAACTACTGAAATAGTATGTATAATTTATATCAGTGTTCTGCACACACTACACCACTTCTACAT